TGCCCATGCTGGCGAACTGCTTGATTACAGAACATGACCAGGAAAAGAGCTACTTCTGACTTAGAGCGTAGCAAATATACCCAAACTCCGCGGCTGTAATCGTCAACAAGAGTGAGGAAGTAATGAGCACCACTGAGTGAAGGTATACGATACCCTCCCCATATATTAGCATGAATCAACTCAAAAGGCCGAGTACTCTTTATTGAACTCAAAGAGAAAGAATTGCGAGATTTTTTTGCCCGCAAACAAGAAGAACAATGGTCTTTTAACAACTGAGAACTGTTTGGAGACAACTTTAATAAAGAAATCTGATTCCCGGATGGATGCCCCAGTCGGCTATGCCACAATTCCGGAGTGACGGACTGCTTCCCTTGCGTTGCGTGCACCATGGCTTCCTTGACTTCAGCAAACAATCGCAAGTAGTAGAGCCCGTCTCGCTGCTTACCCATCCCAATCATCTTCTTGCAGTGTAAGTCCTGTAGTACACAGAAATCGCCCAAGAAGATCAGTGCGACGGGAAAGTCTTTTGTGAGACGGCTAACAGATAACAAGTTGCACTTGAACTCGGGAACTAACAAGACACGGGGCAAAACCATCCCGTTCCCCAACTGTACTGAATCAATACGGCCAACCCCAATAGTATCACCATTAGGAATGCTAACTTGTAGACCAGATTGAGATGCACCTCGCATAAGCATTGACTCATCCTTTACTATATGTTCGTTACATCCGGAATCTATGACCCATTCATCGAGACCAGAAAATGTACCTTGCATATGAGAGGCGACCGAATCAAGAGTGCCTGTGTCACCCTTGAAGAACTGCCGAAGTTGTTCCAACTGAGAAAGGGAGAGACCCGAGACTGGGCTCTCACTCACGTCGACATTTGCTGCCTTTGGACTAGGACGTGAACGATCAGGAGGTTTTCGTTTGCTGCCAGCCTCGGCTCCTTTATCCGGCCAACCGATCAAGTCAAAGCACCTCTCCTTGAGATGGCCGATTCGTCGAGGCAATGCGGCGTTGATGGGCATCATTCGCCACCAATTGATAAGCCTCAGATAGACTAGGCATGGTCTTCATGGAAAGGACCTGCGTCTTGACCTTGGAAAAGGTCTCATCTAATCCCATGAGGAAATCAAAGAGGCGAAAGTTTTCTTCACATGTTTGATTCTTCTTGTCCTGACCGCAAACACACAAACCACAAGTACAAGAATGGAGTGGAGCCATGGACTGTACCTCCTCCCACAGGGATCGGAGCTGGGTATAAAAGGCTTGAACCGACAGCTTCTCTTGTGGCAAACGACTGATAATCCGTCGGACCTCATAAACCCGAGTCGCACTCCCTTGAGCGAACCGTTCGCGGAGGTCATTCCATACCTCCCTTGACCTTTTTGCGTGACGCATACCCCGCCGAACTTGCTTGTCGATGGCGCAGGTCAGCCACCCTTTCACCATAGCGTCGACGCGTTTCCATTGAGCAACTTGCGTCGGATCTGTGGGCTCGGGTATAGAGCCGTCGACGAAGCCCAACTTGTTCTTGGCAAGGAGGGAGTTCGTCATGTCGTGAATCCAATCCGCATAATTGGATTCGGTGAGAAGTTCCCCAACGTATACTTGGTTGGGATTATCAGACTGACTGAGAAACAACGGGGCGGAAGGATCCATCCCGAAACTACTACCACCGCCGGTGAACGTGTTGATCGACTTGTCCTTGTCGTCACTGCCAGTTGCCATGGAACGAACCCTGTGATCGTCTTCACAGCTCTGATACCATGATAAAAACGAACAAAAGCTAAGAACACGACACCAATTTACGTGGTATCCTCGTTCGAGAGAACGAGACTAATCCACGGAGAGCTCGCACAAGGAGCTCTCACTTCTTTTATTAGGTTTTTTGATACTCGACTTACACAGCAGCTCGGCTGTTACAGAGACATCAACAGTATAATTTATAGCTGAAAAGTAAAACTGCCACCCCCATTCAAATTTTCCTGTCCATAGAGTGATTTTAGGAAGCTGATGTGGCAGGGTGTTGAGCGGGAAAAAAATAGAACTCCCCGCCAGATTGCAGAACTAAAAATCGTCCACTACACACCTTTTTCTTCTAGTTTCCCACGTTATCATTTAGTTATCATTTATTTTTCATTTAATTTTCGTTTGGCTGAAATACCACCTTTTCTACTGGGTTCCCACGTTATCCTTTCGCCTGCTTGCAGGACAAGAGGAGAATCAGTTTCCATCGGAAAATTCGTGTTCAGCGGAGGAAGGCGCTGACGGCCGGCTGTTGCTGAGTTCATGGGAAGACGACCAGACGTTTTGGTGGTCAGTGGCGGAAAGCAGTGACGGCCCGCTTCTGATGCGACTGAGGAGATCGCGTTTGGGAGTGCAGCGAACGATCTCCGTGGCGAAGAGGTTGTCGATGATCGAGGCTTTCCCTTCCGGCGAGAAGCACAACTACTGCCGCCGCCACCACCGTCTCCCCCGCCGTCACGAACCCTGCTTCTTCTTTCTTCTCTGCTTCAACCTCTAGAAGGTCGCTACAAATCGCTCCAGCTACTCGCATCCGTTGAGGAGCCATCGCCGCTGGGCTCGACGCAGCTGCTGCGGCCACCGCCGCCATCAGCGAAGCGCTCATCATCCCCTTCTTCTCCCACCCGCTGCCGTTGCTTCCGTTTCCTTCCGCCGAGCACTTCACCACTCTCCCTCTCTTCGCCATCGACGGCAGACCTGCATATCACCCAATCGATTCAATTTCTTGGGTCCCCCAAGCTGAATTGATAAAAGCCAGAGGTAATTGTGAATTTCAGGGGAGGGGGCGTCAAGAGTACTCACTGAGAACTGGGGCGGAGGAAACCCCTAGAGAGGGGTTGCGACGGAGAGATGCATGGATGAAGGAAGAAGCTGTGGTTGTGGCGGAGATGGACGCCATTTTTCACACTCTGACCCTAGGAAGGAAGGAAGGGATTAGGACGGTAGCTGGTTCTGTGAGAAACTACTGGAAGTAGTGAGCTTTGCAGAGGTGATATAATTTGCAGAGCTTAATACTGACCATAGAATTTGCCCCCATCACAAAGTTCCATGCTAAGTTACTCTCCTTATTGGATCTTTTAGTTGTGTATAATTCTTGGTTTCGTGATATGGTATTGGAGATATGAGCAGGTGAGGTTTGGAACGGACCAGAGCATTAACAGCAGTTGGTTGTGAGATGGTATGTGTAAAATGGAATCATGGTAATTACTTGGCTCTACTCATATAGGTAGGCTATATTTGAACCTCAAGGGAAGAATTCTCTTGCCACTTTTTAAGCTTTTTGTTTAGGTTTCCAATGTCAATGTGTGTGCCTGCTTTATGTCAACATAATCAAGCTTAATTGAAAGCAATACTTCCCACTTTGTTCACTCAATTTTTCTGTGTTTCACGGCTTTCTTATCTAACTTTTTTGTTTCTAAATTGCCTCTATTTTGGATATAACTTGCAGTTTAGGCTATGTAATCGACAACTAATGATTTAATCCATGACCTTCGGAAGAACGGTTTGAGTTTACATTTTCCTTATGTCATTAGTTCTTATAAGTAATTTGTTGAGTTCTTATGCTAATGTACGGTCTCTTTTTTCTTTTTTTCCTTTAGTAGTTTGGTCCAAGAAATCATGTGATCATTAATTTTTTTCTTTAAGATCACTAGGTTCATCGATTTAGTTTGCCAATCAAGCATTTAACCTTCGTTTAGTTCCTAATTGAGAGCGTAATCATTTGTATAATAATAGTACATGCCTCTGATACTGTGTTAAGATGGAACTGAAATGAGTTGGATGTAATGTCTTTGTTTGGTCCACTTTTATTCAGTGTTCAAGAAGACGCGATTAATCTCTCGCCTATGCGCGATTAATAGCTGGGCAGGAGGAAATCGCCCAGTCTAGCTCTGGGCGATTGATCTAGGCACCTGGGCACTCGGAGACGCGTTTTCACTTTGGTGGGCGACGCCCAGAACAACTAATAAAGGGGAAATTGTAGCCTTTTTTGTGAAAATCCCAAACCCTATTCCATTTCCCCTTTCCACCCGCTCTGTAGCCTCCCCGAGAACCTGCCTAATCCTCCTGGAAGATTGATCAATCTGCACTCGCATTTGCCGGATTTGGTAGGCTAACTGGGTTGTCGGCGCCAATAGTCTCTCGAAGGCACATAGGTTTCTATTTTTTCATAGTTGCCAACAGAAAGTAGCAAAGAGGGATGCGTCTATCGGTCTATGGTATTAATAGTCATCTTTATCACTATGCTTTTCATTTTATTTGTTGCTTCTAATTATAATGATCAACAGATAAGTCAATAAAATATGTGATCGCGTTGACCTATGAATCAATTTGGAATTGTGCAAGTTGTTGAAAATAAACACTATTTCAAGAGACATTGTTTTATGCAGGTATAACAGCTCCATTCTCTACTAGCAAAAGCAAAGTCGATCATTTGCCTGGAGGGAGGGAAACATCTTTGGGAATCTTCTTGAAATTCCCCGACTTTTATTGTTGATCATCTGACCTTCCAAAAATAGCGATGAGCTAAAAGCCGAGCACAAAGCTAAGAACAAATTTATGGGCACACAAATTTTTGACAAAAAAGTTTTTATTTGTTGGTGGTACATATTTGTTATAAATTTTTAGAATCTTTCAAATGACATAGTAGACAAATCTATAAGTGTTGACTTTTAGATATCAAAGGCAACACCAAAATCAATTATAAAAAATCCATATTGATTTCCTAAAATCATGAATCTTTTTCAGAAACTTAATTTTCACAACAAATTATTGTATGTTTGAACTATAGAGTGCCTTATTTAATTAAAATTTTAAAGAAATAATTGGAATATTTCAGATATGTCCATTATAATACAATTATACTATCCGTATACATTAATGTTAGCTATTAACAACCACAACTACTCTTGTCTGACGAATTAGGGTTTTCTTTTTCTCCGCCGCCGATGTCTCCGCCGATGAAGAGGAAGGTGGAGTTGGTCTTGGATGATGGCCAAGATTATGACGAAGCGTACGAGTCTTGGAGATTGTCGGAAATTAGGAGGGAGAAGCGGCTGCGGGAGGAGCGCGCCGAGGGGGCCAAGACGATGTTCGAGTTTTTTAGGCGTTTCTATGTTATGTTGTACCACCTTGCACAGCAGTGTGAGGGTGTCGATCGTGTATGAGTGGATTGTCTCTCTCTAATTTGAAAGGGAAATTTTGCTTTCTTACAGGTCTTTACTTTTACATACTGAATCTAAGTCATTACATAAGGTAAGGAAAAAGAGCAGTGGGATATCTTGCATTTGCCCTCCAATCTTTTGGTTAGCAGGAACAGTAAACACAGCAAATATTAACAAAAGAAGTGTTTTGATCAGGCTAGTTCAAGAAGCTCGTACATTCTGATATGAAACTACTAGATATATCATATATGGATCATCATGATTACTACACAGTAACTATATTGACGATTATATTCCACAAGGAACCCCTCCCATGCAAAGTCCAAACTGGAAAAGAAAGAAAGAAACAAGCAAATCTAGAAAATGAAATTTGCTTTCTAATAGTTTTTTTGGGTTCTTTCATCTCCGTGTTAACATGTTGATCGCTACGTGTCTGTTGACTTGGATTAATTTAAAAATTATTGCAAAGAGAAAAGAAACACAAAAAATCAACACATCTACAAGATATATAAAGCCAAAACATGTGTTGACGTTTCAGGAATTTGAAATTGAAGCCCTTAGAGGGTTTCACGAAGGGGCATGATTGTCAATTTACTCCTTTAGTTGAAGCTGTGCGTTTTACTGAGGTGCTCCACTGGATATTATCAGGGCCAATGGGCCAGTCATGGAGGGCCAGCGCCCCAAGACCAGCGCTGGGCCCAAACTCCCCCGCCTAATGTAGAGCTGCAATACACTCACCACAAACGATGACAACACGTCAGGAGTGCCGACTAGAGATGGCAATGGGTCGGGTTGGGGCGGGTTTTGTCAAACCCAAACCCATGGGTTTATCCGCTAAAAAAACCCGGGGTAAAACCCGTTGGGTTTGAAAAACTCAAACCCAACCCAACCCGCTGGGTATCCGCGGGTTCATGTGTACCCGTGGGTTTTTGTGTTAAAAAATTTACGATAACAAGTTTCTTTCAAAATAAATGTTTAACATCAATTTTCTCATACAAATTAATCATACAAAAAACACCAATATAGAGCATACAAGCAAACCGAACCGCAAATGATCAATACAAATTGTTCAAAATTAAAGATAAACATCTATAAACAATAAGATTAATTGAAAGTTTCTTCCTCGTCAACTAAGTTTCTTCACTCTCCACTTCATAATATCAACTTCATTCTAAACAATTAGAAAGAACAAATTATACATTGTCTCCACAAATTTAAAGAATATTAGTTGTTTAAGGAAGATATATTATTTAGAATATTAAATATACCGGGAAAGTAATTATATGTGTGTGGGCGAGTACCCATGGGACGGGTTTACCTAAACCCAAACCCAACCCGACCCGGTGAATAGTGCAGCGGGTTTAAACCCAAATCCGGCCCAAAACCCGTCAACACGGGTTTTACCCGCGTTGACCGAGTTGGGTCGGGTGGCTACCCGTGGGTTCGGGTTTTGTTGCCATCCCTAGTGCCTACGAGAACCCCTTCCCGTGTCGTCCTCAAGCTGCAGCGTCGCCATCCCCCGCCCCTGAAATTCAATTCATCACTCCGTGAAACGCTCCAAACTGCCCGCAATTGAAGAACTGAAATTATCAATCCTTGACCCTTCGAGCTGCACCCGACGAACGAGCTCCTTTCGCCCCTTCCCTCCTCCATTTTCCGCCTTATGTTGCTCCGGCCACCAAGCTTTCTTCGCCAGTATGGTCGTCTCTCTATTTCCGGGCTTATCTGCCTCGCTCCAAATCCAAGCTCTCCTGTCATTTTAAATCTTCCTTACATTGCTCAGGCCACAACGATGAACGGCGATAAAACAGAAGACGAGCAATGCAATAGCATAGTGCAGAGGCCAGAGAGACCACTTCCAGACCTCCCCTGCATGAGCGCGAGCTCTGACCGACCAATCCCTCCCTAAGCTGAGGGATTCAAGTTAAAGGAAGATAGTCGATCTAATTGTAATGCCAAGGAGAAGAAAGAGAGACGAATGAGGTATTGGATTGATTTTTTATGGTGATTGTGAATTTTTGATGGTGAAGGCGCAGAGGGAAGAAAGGGAGAGGGAGGGAGGTAGAATGGCGCACAAGGAGAACTGAAGAAGGGAGACAGAGAGGGAGAGGTAGAATGGGGAATTGTATTGTATGGTGGAGAAACTCCGCTGGTTTCTTATTTTCTAGATTGTTGAATGAAGATATTACTTTCGCTTTTGTATTATTAGGAAAATTATAAAATCAGTCAGGCAGACCGATAAATCAAGAGTCGAGGACACGCCCACCAGCCCGGCTCGGAACATCCTAAAAAATGCCTGTATTGAACCGACCGGTTGAATATTGACTCGAGCAGTTAATCGATTGAACCGACCATGCGGTTCTCATCCTCCAGTCTACCTAATTTAAACAAAATTGAAATGTGAGTCCCAGGCAGTCAGACACGCCAGCGAGATGCAATTATTACTTTACGTTATGCTTTTGGATTTTTCTGGAAAATGGAAGTGTCTGTTGTTGGCCTTCTTTCTCTGTATCAACTTTAGTTCATAATTAATTGTAGGGTCATAATTAGGGGTTTAACTTTTTTAGTTTTTAGTTTTAGTTAATTACATTGACATCTTATCTTAACATATATTATGGTCGTTGTAGAAAAAGTTTTTGCCACGTAGGACAAAGAAAGCTTCACAATTTTCCATGTCATTTACGATTTTAACATTTGAAGTTATTAATTACATTAAAATAAAACTAAATAAAAAATTTTATCAATCATCATAACCAAGATTTGAACCTATGACGTACGAGCTCAAATTATCATCACTTCAAGTGTTCAACAAGTATGATAAAGTATATTTGATGCTATTGATCACAACAAACCATGTATATCAATCACCATAACAAAGATTTAATCATGCACCCTAGGAGCTCAAATTGTAATCATTTAAGTTTTTTAACCAATAGAATAAAATCTCTTTTATAGAATTATTCACAACAAGATTAATACTCATTTTATAAAAAATGGTACAACACATAAAATTCTATTTTTATTTAATGGTTGACTTCTGTACATTACACAATAAAAACTATCACGGTTAAAATTTTGTAATTTAGTTGGTAACCATTATAAACTTTTACATAATTTGACATGTGTTTTTTTTTTAAATGAAAAACTAAAAAGAAAAGATTAACCTTCTTTCGTATTCTAGAGCACGAAAAATTTAATATTTTTTTGTACGAACTAATATAAATATGTGAATCTATACAGTTATGTTGCAATTTGTTAGAAAATAGCTACTATAAATATATGAGCTAACACACTCTTATCACGTTGTACTAGAAAAATAACAACTTTTTGTGTTCTTACTAGATTATTAAGAGATAATGGCTAAAGTAAAAAATGATGGTTTGCTAAGTCAAAACCATAGTCATAATAACTTATTCATGTGCGATATTCCTATATTTGAATATTAATGAAATATATCAACATAATTCAATTTAGTGATACACAACAATTTCATGTGTTTAAGAATAGTACCGGACACCATTGGTCACCAAATCTTTTGTATCTTTTTCAAAATCGAATTATGGTTGTATGACTTAAATATGTTCGTGCTCAATTGGTAAGAAGCAAGGTTGTCAACCCGCGGGTTGACCCACTTTAGCCCTGACCCGGTGAGACAATTGGGCCGCACGCACCCGTCTGGTCGACCGCTACAAGTTATCGGGTTGGAGGTCAAATTGTATCATTTTTTTCTTTAGTTTGCGAAATGCGCCTATTTTCCGACTTTTCTTTTTGCCTAACTCAATCTTTGGAATCCATGGTTGAACATTTGAATATTGATGCTATATAAGTGTGTGTTAATTTTCACTATATGTTGGATCTAAGTACGACATGTTACTGTGGTGTAATGTTCTATGTTATTACTCATATGTTAGATGAGATTTGATATAATTTATCAGGATAAGTACAATATAATGACTCTTTCCATTTTTCCGGGCTAAAACGGGTGACCCGTTAACCCTTGACCCACTAGCTCGACCGGGTTCGGGTCAACCCGCGGCTTGGCAACCTTGGTAAGAAGTTACAAGAAAAGTAATGTACGCATACATATATGTATTTGTCTTCTTTAGCGAATGATATCATTATCTTTTCTTTTATGCGTTTCCGATTTCATTCTATTTTCAAATTTTTGTACGTCATTGAATTTTTTTCATGTACAACTATAAAGCACATTGTCTTTACTTTTTTCCTGATGTAATTATAATTTATTTCTTTTCCCTTTTTATTGTTTTACATTAGTTTTTTTCTTTTTCCTAGAGTGTACATTTGTAACTTTGAGTCATGTTCAGATGCATAGCATCTTAATTAAAAAAGATTTCTAAACCAATCTTAAGCTATTGGATATATATAATGGTTGATGTAAATAAATATTTTAAACCTTACTTAATGTGACACCCTAATAGAATTATTACTATTATTATTTTAGTAACCAGTTATACTCGCCGGATAACCCGACTCATAAGATAATGAGTATAGCTCAAAAGGACTTATTGTCTCTTCCATTGACCATGGCAAAATATGGAGTATTCAGTTTCCCGTCACCCACCTCTCGGCCCTTTCTCGCTTAAGTTAACTGTCAAGATACATCCGATATGCTATATCTCATTTAGTCAAATAAACATCCAGTAGGATAAAGTATATTTGATGGTGCAGACACATACTCCTTGGCCATAATCAATGTGTGGTTTGATGGTGCGGCCAAACGTGGTCAAGGAGGTAGTATCGGCTTTGTCGGCTTTCATGCGTTAGGTAACGTTCTGTTTGCCTTTGGAAAATTTTATGATGGGATCTAGGATCCATTTACAATTAAATGCTTAGCCTTACGTGATGCCTTACAATGGTGTCTAACTCATTTCTTCCTTGCTGTTAATTTTCATGGGGGCTCTCAACTCTTGATTCGGCGGATGGTTGGAGGTGATATGCATCATGATCGGGGTGGAGCTATTTTGGAGTACGCTAGGAGCTTAACTTCTTCATTTAGCATAGTTTCTTATTGT